AAGGGAACCTACAGGAAATCTGGGGAGGGAATTTTTAAGAGAGTGTCCAGCCATAGGACAAGAAGAAATGGATTTAAAATGAAGAACAGGTTTAGATTGGATCTTAGGAAGAAATTCTTCAGTACAACGGTGGCAAGACTCTGGAATAGATTGCTCAGAGCAGTTCTGGAAACCTTGTCTCTGGCAGTGTTCAGGGCCAGGTTGGATGAGGCCTTGAGCAACCCAGTCTAGTTAAGAGTATCTCTGCCCATAGCAGGGAAGTTGTATTAGATGATCTCTAACATCCCTTCCAACCTAAGACATTCTATGATTCTATAATGTTCATATTTTCCATTTAGATATCACTAGACAAAATGGGATAATGGAATTATGCCACCAAAGTACTCTAATTTCTGAGCTATATACAAAGAACATTATCTAATTCCACTGCAGGGAGAAGTTAAGGGTATTCAGAAAAAAACTCAACCAATCAACCAACCAAAAACCTCCCAAAACCTAACACCAAAAAAAACTGAAAGAAACCCCAAAGAACAAATCCAGGCCTCAGGCCATCGTAAAGTAATAATCCAATATTGGTTTCAGATTATGGTTTTGACCATCAGCTGCTAAACATTGTGGACAATGACCCCGTTTACTGACCCACAGGATACTTCCTTATTTTGACCTGAAAAATGAGTGTCCCCGAGAAGTTAGTCTTATTGGAAATGATTTTTTTTTCTGCAAAAATCATCAGTCTGAAGTGTGTCAAACTGAGCTTTGCTAATGAAAATATGGATTTGTCAAAAGGTCCCAGGCAAACATGAATAATCCTGAAAGAGAAACATCACAGTTTTATTGTCTATCCTGAGGGAAAAAGATATAAAAATATCAAAATTAAGTTGACTTTAAGGGCTACTCCAAGTAAAATAGGGGAGGACAATAATTCACTGAGTAAAGAATATCTTTAACGATGACAAGACAGGCGTCTTAGGAGTTGTAAAATTTTAATAACACTGTGGAGCTTCACTGACTTTGAGCCTGTGTTCCCAAGCAAAGATTTAATCTTTCCCTTTAACAGTGAAAAGCCTCTTGCAATTTTACAGGTCTTGAAGGCTTTAAATAGTTTCATACTTTCTATGAAACTTGAATTATAATCTCCTGATAGCTCGAGTTTTATCCCTTCTATCTAATTTTTACTCAAAGCAGGAGGTGCAGTTTAGTGCAATTGTTTCTTTAAGTATCCCACCAGGGGTGGCTGTTACTCACTTACATGAAGTGCCTCCACTTAAAGTACCAATTTGCACAGCAGGACCGTGCAGAGCAGCAGTAGCAAGACAGAGGATATTTAAAACAGTATTAAATACAGCAAGAAAATGGGTAGGAAAACTGAGAAAGAAAAAAAAAGTGGAGAAGGCAAAAAAAATGGTATTAGGAACATGGAACTAAGAAAAAGTATTGAAGAGAAAAGCAGTGAAGAAGGGAGGTTAGAAATTAAACTGGAAATATTGCTGATAAGGTGAAAGTCACAGTACACTCTGAAAGGCAGATGTGATAACAGTGAAACTTCTGATAGAGTAATTGAATTTTGAAGTTTCAATGCAATTCTAACATTGTTATCTCTGTGTAAGAAAAAATGTTTTCTTGTGTCTTGGCTGCTCCCAGGAGCATGGGAAACTTGGGTTCAAACTCCTAGTCTGAACTAAGTGAAGAAATGAGTTTAATCTAACTCAGTCCTCAAAAATCTCCTAACCAGAAGTGCAGTGAGGAGAAACTGCTGAAAATCCCAGCCATTTCCAAATACAACATGAGAACAGAATCTTCCTCAGATCACAACCGGGAGGTCTTCCTAGCAGGTACATAAGAACATTAAAAGATGACCGTTACTGTAGCACATTGTCCATTCAGTTATGATTGTTTGCAGATCACAAACTATCCATCAAGTAGGACTTCTTCCAGAGTCAAACCTCACTATCACAGAATTCTTCCTTTTGGAGGAGCTAATATAGCTACATAGAAAACATTTACTTACAATGAATGCTAAATGCTCCTAAGTTACTCTTTCATGAGTTTCTTTCTTCTCTCAGCTATGTGGTCTCTTCCTCCTTCTGAAGAGAAAAATCAAGATAGAGATTCTGATGTATAAATTAATCCATGATTTCATGAAAGGCAAATGCTGACCAACCCAGTGAGGTTAGCCTTGTTCTAAAACTTAGATAAAATTGATAAAGACAATACTTTTTTATTGTTCTGTTCTTTACAGCTCTAATTCTTTTTTGAATCTCTTAACTTTGCTGGACGTTCTTTGTCACATTTAGAAGCCTTGAAACAGCAGGTGATAACAGACTTCATGTATTATTACACACTTAGATTTCTTTGATCCTTCAAATTTATTGGGAGAAAAATGCTAGTTTCTCATTGTTTATATCCCAACTGTGATGAATTTTTTCATTTTAATGTGTGTATTTATCAGACTACAATATGTAGATTAGCCACATATTTGTTCATACATGGTAAGTACTGCTAGAAAAGCTAACCACTGTAATATGTGATATTAAATGACTCCATTAACAGAATAGCTCCAGAAGATATCAAGACCAACAGAAGTGTGAAATTAGATTGGGATTCATCTTCCTACCCATGTCCAAGAAAACAAGTCTTTTTTTATATTTTACAGAAAACACTGCACATAGCTTTCCCAGCCAGTAAATCCAGGAGAGAAGCCCTATCAAAGCCTGGGAACTGGCTGCTCCTGCCAAAGAGCATCCCATGGGTGGTAGGTTAAAAGGTCTCCACTTGCCAGACACAAAGACAAAACATCGGAGCCCCATTTTTCTTTTCTTGTGAAAAGAGCACAGAAAAGGTACTTATGCTTCTGTCATGATCATTTAAAGGCAATAAATGGGGTAATAAAATGGTTCTGTGGTGCACCAAGCTCAATTCCAGACTTCTGTCTTTAAATAAAACAAACATTTGAGAGGAGACTTCTTCCAAAGCAAGCAATGTGGGATCTAACTGTGTGCAAATGGGGGCCACAGCAGGAGCTTGCATAACAAGAGGAGCTAATGCTCTACTGCCCACACCCATATCAAGGTGCTGTTTGCTCACAGTACATAATCTCACTCATACCCTCATGCATAAGGAAAAGTGGCCCCTGACCCCAAGGACGGATGCTCAGCATATGAACGCAGCAAATAGATATTAGATGAGGAGCAGAACATGAGGGACAATTCACAAACAGCATAAAAGGAAATGGTCAAGACCTGTCAGCTGCTTAGCTAGTCTTCCAAGCAGTGTTTATTCTTAGCTACAGAGGTGGAGCTATTTTACTGAGTACTTTTTCCAGTTCTCTGTAGTGCCTAGGATGAAAGCTTGAAGTAGAAAGCAAGTGTTAGTAACAAAAGAGATGAAGCAGAGATGGGCACAAAAGCCAGTAGCCTTGCAGTGAGCATGCTGAAGTACAAAGAGTCAGGATCATCAAATGAAAATGTTAAATGCTTTTACATAGAAGTTTGGAGTGAACTATATTTGCAGTTGCAAATTCTCATAGTTGAAGAATTTAAATTGCATACCAGTTGGGTTATGGCAATAACCACATAACCATAACAGAAGTGCCATCATGTTTCTTTCATAGCCAAAGTATATTTGAACAGAAAAATGGAAGTCTAACAAAGCACAAAAGAAGACATAGATTTCAGAGTAGCTTTTTATTTTCTTCCCCTGTAATAGTGGTTCATTACAGTTTGGAGAGTGAAAACTCAAGAAACAACTACATAATGTGGAAAATAGACTACAAAAGGATGGATCAGGAATAGCAACCCAGGATGGATACTTTTCTTACTAAGAATGAGACACCAGGAAATAGATTATGTAAAGGACTTTAGTTAATTTGAAGGAAATACTTCTTATGGCAAAGTAGCACAGCTATTTGTCCCTGTCTCCCATCTCTAGAGAAGAAAGAGACATAATACTAAAAGCAAATGATCTTTATTTATTTTGTTACTGTTGTTAAGTAGGGACAGTGTAAGGAAGGTTTGAAGCTGGGAAAGTGAGTAGAAGACTGGAGGAAAAACATCTATTTTGTTACAAAATCTCCCATAAAAAGCACTATTGGGAAAAACAGATCTTACTTTAGCTTTATGGGTAGTGTTTTGTGGATATTATACTACCAAAAGTTATCTCTGGGACTGAAATTAATAGCTCCTGTCTGCTGGCTGAATGGGCCAACCATGGAGAAAGTGGACAGACAATAGCAAAACCCTCTATTTGATATTCCTGTGTAAAGAGATTGTGAGTGGAAAAAAGAAATAAAAATCTCTGCAATTTTTCTTTACATCTGTTTGAATCTAAATTTCCTTTTTCTGTGTATGAACAATTGGAATTGTATACTTGCTGAAGTGTCAATAAGATCAAAGGTGAAAAGAGCAAGATAGTACTGATGTACAAAAAGCAAGAGCAGAAACATTAAGGGAAACTTGCCAGAAGCAAGAAAGGAGGTGAACTAAAGAGTATGCTGTTATTTTTATTATTGTTAGGGAATAGTAGGACAAGTTAATGTACTGTCAACTAAGCTAAAAGCTTTCAGTAAGCTGGTTCCCCTGGCAACTTCCCATGTTCAAACACTTGTTCCTCAGCAACTCTGAAATAACTTGTCTCTTTTCACTGAGGAAGGAGTTACCATGCACTTAGCAAAAAGCTAGTGTTTTCATAGGTAGGTAACAGAAAGGACCTGATCTGTCATAAGAAATAATAAAAAATGGGTTTACAAATACATTAACAACAAAAAGAGAGCAAGGAAAATCTCCATCCTTTATTGGATGCAGGGATGGATCACCATCACCAAGGCTGAGGAAAAGGCTGAGGAACTTAATGCCTTCTTTGCCTCAGGCTTTAATAGTCAGACTGGTTATCCTCAGGATACTCAGCCCCTGGAGATGGAGGACAGGGATGGACAGTGGGCTGTGCTCCCCATAATCTAGGAGTAAGCACTTAAGGACCTGCTACACTACCTGGACACACTTAAGTCTATGGGGCCAGATGGGATCCACCTAAGAGTGTTGAGAGAACTGGTGGAGGAGCTTGCCAAACCACTCTCCATCATCTACCAGCAGTCCTGGTTAACAGGGGAGGTCTCAGATGGCTGGAGGATTGACAGTGTAACCACCATCTACAAGAAGGACCAGAAGGAGCATCTGGATAACTACAAGCCTGTCAGTCTGACCTTGGTACAGGGGAAGATCATGGAGTGGTTCATCTTGAGTGCGTTCACATGGCATGTGCAGGACATCCAGTGAATCAGGCCCAACCAGCATGGGTTCCTCAAAGGTAGGTCCTGCTTGGCCAACCTGAGCTTCTTTTATGATGAGGTGACCCATCTAGTAGATGAGGGAAAGGCTGTGACTTTACCTGGACTTCAGTAAAGACTTTGACACCGTCTCCCATAGCATTCTGCTAGAGAAGCTGGCGACTCATAGCTTAGACAAGTGTACTCTTTGCTGGGTTAAAAACTGGATGGCCAAGCCCAGAAAGTGGAGATGAATGGAGTTAAATCTAGTTGGCGGCCGGTCACAAATGGTGTCCCCCAGGGCTCTGTTATGGGGCCATTCTTGTTTAATATCTTTATTGATGATCTGGATGAAGGGAACGAGTGCACCCTCAGTAAATTTGCAGATGAGTGGCAGTGGGAGTGTTGATCTGCTGGGAGTAGGGAGGCTCTGCAGAGGGATCTGGACAATTTGGATCGATGGGATGATGCCAACTGTATGAGGTTGAACAAAGCCAAGTGCTGGGCCCTGCACTTGGGTCACAACAACCCAGGCAGAAAAGGATCTGGGACTGTTCGTCAACAGCTGGCTGAATATGAGCCAGCAGTCTGCCCAGGTGGCCAAGAAGGCCAACAGCATCCCCACCTGTGCCAAAAGTAGTGTGTCTAGCAGGAGTAGGAAAGGAATTGCTCCCCTGTACTCAGTACTGGTGAGGCCACAGCTTGATGACTGTGTTCAGGTTTGGGCTCCACAGTATAAGAAAGACACTGAGGTGCTGGAGCGGGTCCAGAGAAGGGCAACAAAGATGGTAAGGAATCTAGAGAACATGTCCGATGAGGAGCAGCTGAGGGAGATGGGATTGTTTAGTCTGGAGAAGAGGAAGCTGAGAGGAGACCTCATTGCTCTCTACATCTATCTGGAAGAGAAAGGGGGTCTGGCTAGGTAGGAAAGCTTACCTTTTTCCATGTTCTGGGTTTGCAATAAGGTGATGGCTAGAAATAAATATCCTTGGGACAGGCTCATTTGATGTATTTTTTTTTAATGTACAACTGATTTGGCAGACTGTAGCAGGTACTGCAAAACTGCTATGGTCAATCATTTCACTGACTGCATGCAACATCTGCAAATACCAATCAGATAGAGATGGATGGTGCCATTGTAAAAAAGGTGAGTAATCCCTATGAAAAAAACATCTAAGATTAATGGCTATTTTTTACTTAGTTTAACCTCAAAAGTATGCTCTCAACTCAGCTAATGAAAAATTCCTTTCAGTGGATGCATCCCTGTTGAGTTATGTCTGTTTGTAAAGTTGATCAGACCAGAAACAAAATTAGTTTAAAAATTGCCTGCCTTCTCTGTACTCTACGCTGATTTGAGTACATTACACTTCTTTAATTCTGTCATGGGGGCAATGTTTTAACCAGGGAATGAGACCACATAGCAAATAAATAAATTAGTGCATCTGACAGTTGAAGATAGTGCATGTAGGTCCACTTAATTTTGGCACAAATGAAGCTCAGAAATTAAAGCTGCTCTAGCAAAAACAGATCTTCAAAATCTTTTGTCATTTCAGCCGTAGGTTTGCTGATCATGTCAGTTCAAGATTATTTATAGTGTTACTGGTTTTTTTGTTCATGATGTGTGGACTAGGATTGGACCAAATCATGTGTGTTTGTAATTAATTTTATGCTTCAGTACCTGAGGGATGCTGTAACTATGAATAATTGCCTTATGCTTTCATGGCAGGGATTCAGTTACCTTTAAGCAAGTGATAAAGGTGACATAGGGTAAATCACTTCATGTTTAGAGAAAAAATGTGCAGGCAGACCAAATACTATTGTACCTCATAAAGCGTTGGGTTTGAGCATCATGTTTACCACTTAAGTCTAGACTTAATGAATTACTTAGACACCAAAAATGGATGCTGCAATCCACAACACAGCAGAAGTTTATAGGCATCTCAGCTCCCTGCACAGTGTGTGGGAAGGGCTAGAAGAGGAAACAAATAATAGACCAGAGAGATGACTTAAAAATGAACAAAGATATCCTGTGTGCAGCTTTTTTAACCATTGAAGACAAATCTATGTCTGAAATCCTCTTTTTAAACCTCCTACCTCCACATCCTATAGGGAGTGACGCACTTTCCTGGAACATTATTGTAGGAAAAGAAATATCATCCCATGGGGAAATCTTTCTCTCTCCATTCCCTAGAGAAGGCAAACAAACAATTAGTTTAGATTAAATGAAAAATTTGTGTACAACCAAAGTCTGGGGACAGGAGTCCAACATAAAGTATTCTTTTACCATTGAGAAAGAGGATAGGATCTCAACCAGGTAATTTCATTAATGGCAACTGTTAGTCATTAATGGCATACAGCTATTGAAATCACTGACTCCAAACATTCTAGTCATTTTTTTTAACACTTGAATTTTAAACCAATATCCATCTTTGGTAGACTACGAATTAAATTATTTCATTTAACTGACTCCTACCAATGTTTTTGCATTATATTTATAATTATTTATTAAATATATTGCAGCAATATTCTCAAGTACTCATTTTCAGAATCATTGCAAGCTGAGACTAAAATCATCACAGAATCACGGAATCACAGAATGTTAGGGATCGGAAGGGATGTCGAAAGATCATCTGGTCCAAACCCTCTGCAAAGCAGGATTGTCTAGAGTAGGTCACACAGGAAAGTGTCCAGGTGGGTTTTGAATATCTCCAGAGACAGAGACTCCACAACCTGCCTGGGCAGCCTGTGCCAGGGCTCTGTCACCCTCACAGTGAAAAAGTTTTTTCTAATGTTTTTGTGGAACCCTCCTGTGTTCCAGCTTGCACCTGTTGCCCCTTGTCCTATCATTGAACATCATTGAGAAGAGCCTGGCTCTATCCTCGTGACACTTGCCTTTTACATATTTCTAAACATTTATCAGGTCACCCCTCAGACTCCTCTTCTCCAAGCTAAAGAGACCCAGCTCCTTCAACCTTTCCTCATAAGGGAGATGTTCCACTCCCTTCACCATCTTTGTGGCTCTGCACTGGACTCTCTCAAGCACTTCCCTGCCTCTCTTGAGCTGAGGGGCCCCGAACTGGACACAATATTCCAGATGTGGCCTCACCAGGGCAGAGTAGAGGGGCAGGAGGACCTCTCTCAACCTACTAGCTACTCCCCTTCTAATACACCCCAGGATGCCATTGGCCTTCTTGGCCATGAGGGCACAGTGCTGGCTCACAGTCATCCTGCTGCCCACCAGAACCCACAGCAATTCTCAGTAACCAAAATCCTTTAAGAAGATTTAGATTTTTTTGTTAGAATTTGCAAACTCCAGTAAAGCTTTTACATTACATATCTATTGAATACTTGCTACTTGGATTCTTAGAAAGATTCTTTTCCCCACTAAGAAGTTGCAAATTTTGATCCCTGCAGCTTACTCTGACACCTAAGGTTGCAGTTCAAAGTCTGAGAGAAAACCTGCCCATTTTCTCCATCTTCTCATCCACCTCAGTTATATTTCACAAAGTTTCAGTTGCCACTTTTATGACAGCTTGAAGCAAGACCCATAGAATGCCAAAGCTACCTGAATCTCTCAGAATTGCCATGCAGAATTTTCAGGTTTTTTTTTTTGCCGGATGGAAGCTTTAGGCCTCTTTAAGTGCCTGCATTCTATGAATGACATGTAGGGGGATTTAGGGCAGGTTTTCCCTTGTAGTGCAATGCTGTACGAGCTCTAAAACTAAAAGCATTGTCAATATGGTTAGTTTGCGCGAATGCACCACCATATGGAATAACTACACTGCTACAGCGTAGCCTGAGCTAGTACCTTTATTAGATCTTGAACAGACACGCCTTCTCATATGAAAGTATTTGAAAATTTCTAAACTCATGCTGCTTTTCACTTTGTAGGCAGCTTATATGGACAATAGGTCACTGGAACAACTAGGAGATTACATAAGCTAGCCAATAGAAAATACTGAAGCAAAACTTGAAATAAAACATGGTGATTGCTGTGATTTCAGTGTCATTCTCTGGGGAAAAAAAAGAAAAAAAAGGAAGTACTTTAGTTCAAATCAGTATCCCTCACCTTGAATTTTCCTCTGTAATAAAATGTCCAAATATTTTTTTTTCCCCTCAGAAAATGGTAGAAATGTTTTCTACTGGGGAAAAAGCACTCATTCAGAAATAAGGTTTTGAAGTATGATTGAAAATCAGTGTGATGTTACAATTGAGACTATAGAGGTCTCGATAGTGGAAAGGATTTGTACATCAATAAATTTGACTTCTAATATAAACTAGGAAGAGCATTGCCAACATTATAATTCTGGAATAAATGTGAAAGTCACTGTTTTAACTTAGCCTGGGGATTGACATATCATTTATTCATCCAGAAATACAATGAGTTTATGTATCAGCCATAATTTGGCACATTCTCTCACAATATTATTATCTTATGAACATTCCCTACTTTGAAAACAGGCAGACTGTGCTCCACCTAAAAAATGTCATAGCTTGTTTTCTGAGTTATCAACATTTCAGAGAGAGAGGTCTTGGGATATTTAAGGGTTGATTTTCTGGCTGACGAGTTACAGCACAGGTGACAAATATGTATCAGTCAAAAGCAAATAACGACAGGAGAAACTCTTTCCAAAGCAGGAAATGAAAAATTTATTCTGCAGTCCTGTGGCATGACTACTAAAACATCGCCAATTTGCTTAAAAAAAAGAATAAAAATCACAAACTGGATAGTAGCACTGAAATAGAAAGATTTGCTATCTTAGAAATATTTTATTTATTGTATTTCCAAGAGAAAAAAAACCTAACCAATTAGGTCTTTCTAATAATAGTAATTTTGTGACTGTGTGTGATCATGATAAAAATGTATTTACTATGTGCAAAAATGTGGTTTGTGAATCAATTTATGTGTTATCCGTGTTTCAGAAAGACAAATTATAAAAAGCTGGATACGTGACCAAAAGAGAGTAGGAGGGAAAAATTAATGACAAAGGTAATACCGAATTGCCTAAATAATGCTCCACTGCATACATAATATCTTTAATTATTTAATAAAGAAAAAAAGCATTCTAATGCTTAAGAAATGACATGATGGTATCAATGCAAGCATTTATAAGAAGCAAACGAAAAAATAAGTTTGACAACACACAGCCTAAGATATGTAAATGAGTGATACAGAAGTTAGAATGTCCTCATGAAAAGTTTACTGAAAAGGGATAGGGCCTGTAAGAGAGTGATTTGTCTATGCCAAGAACAAGACCAGTGCAAATGAGAGATCAGATAAAAACATTCTATAGTACAGGAAGGAAGGAAGTTAGAGATGTATCAGGAATTGCTTGTAACATATAGGACAGAGCTCCAAAAATCACATCTAGATGCATTAGTGCA